TACATAAATTCATAAATGAAGTATATAATAATAATTGCTCACTTCTTTTTTTTCATGACAAATACTATGACCATTATAATAGCAACTACTACAATGAGAATTATCACTACTCCTAAAACACTACCAACTGCTATACTAGCATTGACAGCTAAAATGTATAAAAATTTTAAAAAATAATTAAAATGATTTATCTTACCATCACTATTTGCTGAAGGTTGAACTGTTTCTGTTGGACTGGGAGAAGGTACAGAAGAAGAAGAAACAATAGGAGGAGGAGGAGGAATGAATACAGTAGAGAGATTGAAAGCAGGATTAATACTGTAATCATCATCCTGATTCCAATCATGCACAGTGACTAAGTAATCTCCTCCTCGTGATACATTAACACAACCTCCTCCACCACTGATTGGCAGATTAGCTGATTCCAAAACTTGAGCAGTATCAAACACATCAGTGACACGCGTCAAATTAAGATAACAGCCTCTGGCCTGTGTCAGTGGAATGAAGGAGCAAGCTATGCATATGTACCCAGGGCCTGTATCACTGACTGTAGCATTACTCACATCATATGTGCCTGAGAGAGAGGGAGAAGGGGAAATTAATAAAGTGTTTTCCTAGTACTGCATAAACTGTCACAATAATCACATATTTATCAGTCAGTTATCAGTTAATATAAAATTATAAAATAACTCTATCACAACAACACCTTTTGTATCTCTTATTAATAATAACACAATAACTGAAGCAAAATTGCATATTGATTAGGTATAAATTTTGCTGATTGAGGAATTAAATTTTACAAATTTATAATCACCAACTGTGCATTAGCTAGTGCTTTAGCAGAGCCAGAAATAACAGTCAGACATTGGACATTTTTTTCGACCATTTCACCCAATTTTCCAACCAATTTTTGTGTTGTTCCATCATTTTGTTTGAACAACTTAATTTTTAAAATACCGATATAAATTTTAATCAATTATTACAAGCAATTTAAGATAATTATGTTCCCACAAAGCATGAGCTAAACAGCATGAGCTTCATGACCAGAATACAGTACATGGTATTTTGGCAACTTTAAAAATTTATAAAAAATCCAAATTTAATTGGAATAAGCTCAAAGTTGATACACAACATAAGGACATGTATTTGTATCAGAAAAAATTATAAACATGCAGAATTTTCTCCTAGCCATTTTTTGATGAAATTCGGCCAATGACCCTGTACTATATATAGTACAGGGACTTTTGCCCAAATTTTGAGTAACTTTTAAAATTTATAAAAAATTTAATTTTGATTAGAATCAGTTCAAACTTTCTACACAACATAAAAACATGTATATACATCAGAAAAATTATTAAAATGGAAAATTCTTACGAAGTGATTTTTTGCAAAATTTGGCCAACGACCCTGTACTATAGTACAGGAACTTTGGCCCAATTTTGGAGCAAATTTTAAAATTTCATAAAAAATCCAAACTTTATCGAATTTCGCTCAAATTTTCTACACAACATAAAAACACGTATATGTATTAGAAAAAATTATAAAAATAGAGAATTCTCTACTTGTTATTTTTGCCAAAATATCCTGCCTTCTTCCCATTTTTTGAGCAACTTAACAACATTCATGTACAAGATATAGTACATATTGCTATAACTTACTAAGGAGCCCATTATAGTCCACATCATTGTCTAGTGCAATGTCCCACAAGCACCTTCTCTCAGTGTGTGAGTCGGTTATTGTCAGGTTCAGTTCAGTTGAATGAGCTCTGTCATTAGGAAGGGCATTGATCAGTCTTGTAGTCACTAGATCATTTGGAGTATCATCACAGCGAAGGGAGAAAGTCACGTTACTAAGATCAGACAAGCAATAGCCCCTGATCTAATAATAATAATAATAGAAAAAAATAACAGGAATCAATAACACAATGCATCAAAAAACAACTATTAGGTATATCTTGAGTATATGCATAATGTATAGAGTAGATCATGTACTCTTGATAATGTATGTACATTATTACCTCATTATTATACATTATTATTATTACCGGTACATTATATCCATAATGCCAAGAGTACAGTATGCACTTCTATATAATTACCTCAATCCTAATGTCTAATATAAGTGCACCAGCACTGGTATACATCAGTGAAGTGTTAGCAGTTCTTGTCTCAAAATGTCCTAAAAATAAAAGCACCAATATATAATATATAGGGGAGTTGTTTATCATATGAGAGGCATCATAATGCAAACATGTGTATGTCTTGTGAGTAATTACGCAAATATGTAAGAAGAATTTCCCAAATACTATAATTATCACTATAAACTAAAGATTAGAATCAGGTAAGATTACTCCTTACAAATGTCAAGGGATTGGTCCAGGGAAGTTCCCCATTATGTCATAATTATCATTATGTAAAGTCATGAAGGTGTCCACACACTATTGTTTTCATACTTTTTTCAATCAAAATTAATAATCAAAGCTACACATCAACGCAAAACCCCCTAGTTAATCTAATTTGGGTCCCTCCAACCTCTTTACTCTACCCCTTCCCAACTCTCTCTCTCTCCCTCTCTCTCCTTCCCTCCCTCCCTCACTCTCTCTCTCTCTCCCTCTCTCTCTTTCTCTCTCTCCCTTACCTCCTAGTGACCATCTTTGTTTAAATTCAGCTCCATCTCCTACAACATTAGTTGCAACGATACTCACCAGCAGTACATCACAGAGCCTATCCTCGGAAATAGAGAATTCAATGCTGGGAGACGTGACATTATCATCAACAATACTCTCCGATGATAAGAAATGAGTGACATTTATGTAGTAGGAGTCACAGCATGGCGGCAAGCCGCGGTGATGAGTAGGGGGAGTCCATTCAAAGAGGATCATAGTGCTAGAGGTATTGTCTCCATTAAATTGAGTGATGACATCTGGCACACCTGAGAAGAGGGAAAAACAAAGAGGAAAAAAGGAAGGAGAGAGAGAAAAAGACATACAGTAACTTAATAATGCAAAAAATCCCTCATTTGTGTTCGTGCATGCGTTAAATGATTATATACATAGTGTGTACCTTGAACCCTGAGGACAGCAACACCACTTTTCTTAAATCTAATTTTTCCAATGACATCGTTATAAAATATTCCAGTACAGAATATCGGTGCCATATCAAAGGAAGAGCTAGCCAGTACTGTCAGATTCGAGTTCTTTGCAGTTTCATTGATGTTGCTTATAGCATACCAAAGCCCCATCTTTGGCCTGCTGTTAGCCAACTGCACCATTTTTATGGTCCATGGAATCAGAGTCACATTGTCCAGAGAGCATTGAAACACTACCTCCCTGCCCAGAAACTGTGAACGATCCTCTGGGACTTGCAGGAAGTTGGGCTCTCGTAACTCTGTGTATAAGCAGAAAGGAAAAGAGAGGGATAGTGAGTAAGGACTCATTCAAAATGATTAACACTTGTTCTCACCTACTGCCAACGTTACAGACAGTACTAACCCTAACAGCACCAAAGAGACAGCATGTAACTGTATCTTCATAATTGCAAAATAATACGAAGGAGTCACGCCACACAGAAAGAAAGCAGCTAAACAAACCTCGAAAATGATGAACGAGGCCAGCCACACATGAACACAACTTATGAACTTAATAAACTAGCTCTAGACTAAATTATAAAATACCACGTAACCACACCACTTCCTCTTTCCTCTTTTAAAATTAGTACCTCTGGAATTTAACATAGTTATTTTTCCAAATATTCTCAAAGCAATGGAGGCACGAGCAGACTCTCTTATCATTTCTTCTTTTCTTCTCTTGATTGCAATACAAGCTTGTCAGTGCTGTGAGTAACAATTTTTATACTTGCATAATGTTCTCTCAGTCTCATATATTGAGGAAGGTCCACAATCAGTCAATGCTACTGTTAACAGCACTGTAGTATTCACTTGCAGTGGTACAGGCTCATACCCGATTGTGTGGAGGATCAATAACAATTTAATCAATCATCATTTGGATGACAATTACCATACGAGTGGCACTCAACTTAGAGTAAACAATGTAACTGCAGACCTGAATAATTCAATGGTTTATTGTTCTCGTGGTAATGATATTTCAGCTTTAAATACTTCAGAACCAGCTTTGATCCTTTTACAAGGTGAGAGAAGGGGAAAGAAAGTGGTAAAATAGAAATGACTATAATTCATAAATAGGATATCTTGAAGCACCTGTGATTATGAATGCAAGTTTCATGGGCAACACTACACTCTTGGTAAGTTGGGCTGCTCCAAACACACTGGACAATGTACCAATCCTTGGCTACCACCTCTCCATCATTAATCAAGTGTCAGGAGTATCTGTGGACACTCATTATTCTAACACTAGTATGAATGGTAGTATTGATTCACTGGATGATAAGAACTGCTATGAAATAAGATTGACTGCCAATAACAGCCTAGGTGATGGTGAAACCGCATTTGCTTACCACAATAGAACAGGTAATACAAGCTATGTCAACTGAAATTTATCATAATTGGAACATTTGTCATTTTTCTTCCCTCCCCCTCTATAGTTGCCATACCTAATCAAATTAATTACACTGTGAAAGGTACAGATTCTACTACAATGGAAGTAACTACAATGCTACAAGTAATTAGCACTTATCTACTGATTAAACTCAATCACACACACACATGCACAATCACACACACACACACACACACACACACACACACACACACACACACACACACACACACACACACACTTAAAGCACTTACCTATCATAAATAACACATGATTACTTTCAGGTTGTTCTTCTTTTCACTAACATAACACTTAATGCTATCATTTTCCACACATGCATGCATGATATTCCCTATAGATTGATATCAGTTGTTTTCCACTGAGTGCTAATATAACTCTCACAGCTTTTCCTACAGAGGATAGTACTAAAACTGAAACTGTCACGACAATCATTAATAGTAGTGAGGTCAAACCGATTGAGTTTTCAGCACTGCCTAATAAGGTGTATTCCCTTACACTAAGACTCTACAACTCCACTACTGGCTGGGTACTACAGTCTCCATATGCCACTAACATTAGTAAGTACTATCATTCATTGCATCATTTATCATACAACTGTGAGTAATTGGTACTATAGGTAATATGCATGCTTTGTGTATAGCTGCTGGGTTTTGGAAATAATTCTCTGAATGTGTGTTTATTCATTATACTCTTCCTTGTTATATTGTATTTATATTGAACTACAACTTTGTTATTAATAATGGTTTGTTTGTTGCATATGATCCCTAACTACTGTTTATTAATTCCTAGCATGCATAGCTACTCCTGTGTAACATGGTGTTGCTTTTCAAAGAATCTTATCTCAACATTCAAGATGGATGTTATCTGTTTTTTTATTTCTAATAGAGGAAATATGAATGTCTATCTCTTTTAAATCGTTATTCATGTCTCTGTTTTTTGTCTATCACCCTCTAATTGCATCTTTAATTTTAATCCAGTTGTATAAACTCTCATTGCATAAACTATAATACAATTCTGTAGGCACTTATGATGTACAGATGATGGAAAGAGGAGAAATGGATGGACAGCAGTGCCTAAGATGCCTCTTTGCTGCAAACTCACAAGCTACAGGCTGCATCATTTTCGTCCATGATAATGATACCAGTGACATACCATTAATGTATTTCAATTCTCCTGTTATCTATAACGAATCGGTCACTGAATGGAGATGCTATGCAGAAGAGAGCAATCGGGATTTGCTTGTCAGAGCATATGATGTCGAAAGGTATGGCATTACTAGTAATCAGGCAGCAATCGCTCTCAATATCAATCAAATACCATTGATCTCAATAGTCCCCATGATAACATCATCAAAACAAATGCTATCAACATCTCACAATCCCATCATGACAACTTTCACTCACATGAACCCAGTTAGTTTTGTGACAGTGTATATAACAACAAGTAGAATCATCACAATCGCCCCCTCCTATTTAATCTCGACTGTTACCAATGGTCTCTCTCCTACAATAACTACTGGTGGCGTTAAGGACGAAGGAAATAACAATAATTTTGTACTGATAGTCCTGGCTGTTCTTGTGGTTCTGTTCCTTGGAGGTATCATCTGTTTGATTGTGACTGTTGTCATTTTATTCAGGAAAAACAAACAACAGAAAGGTATAATAATAATAATAATAAACAATGATTTCAATTTTAGTCTCTTCTAATGTATATTTTTATAGTTTTACTACTGAGACTGCAAAAGACAATCGTACCAAATACGTACAATCCAATATATGATAGAAGCAACAGCATAGTGACAGCCAATCAAAGGGCTGTAGATAAACTGTCAACTGAAATTGAAAGACCATTAAATGTAAATACAGGAACTCATATCTACAGCGAAATTAATCTTAATAAACATGAAATTAAGCAAAATAAGGATAACGGACAATTGCCTCCTCCTGTTCCTCCTCCTCCTATTGCAAGGAATGGAGCTAATGGCAACTCAGAATGGATCAGCAATCCCAGCTATGGACAAACAGGGCTCTTACTTGATAAAGGAGAGACGGGAACTGGGGGAACCAACGGAGGAGCAAGTGGAGAGGAGTTTAAGATATATGATAGTCCAAAGAAGCAAGCTCTTGACCTAGTTCCAGACTTAAACCCATGCCCTGCTTATGCTCAGCCTCCAACATTGCCAGCACGTACTAATAAATAAAGCAATGAACCCTGTATTGTTGTGTGTTACATTTATAGTGTGTGATATAGTTATCCATATAATGTTATACTTTATCATAATTTATTTTATACCTTTTTTACTTTCAGAGATTGTCTGCTAATCCACGTGGAAACACGTGTCACAGACAAGCGGGCTTTGGAGGCAGAGCTCAGTACGCATGCGCATCTAAGACGGAGTTATAAACTAATATTAAAATTAAATTCAAAAATGGCAGCATTCATGCATATTGTTTATAAATCTCTCCTTCTTCTCCTCATGGCATCTCCTTTAATGGCTGATAAAGAAAACGTCCCAGTATACGAAGAAAATCCATCCAACACCTGGGGAAAAATAGGAGAAGAGAAAGTCGAGCAGATTCGTCGTGAGGCCCAACACAGTACTTGTTGGAAAGAAGCCCTGGTGTCCCTTGAGACGAGCTGTAAGAACCTATCAGACACCTCGCAGAGTCGACTAGCTCTCTCGTTTGCCAACTGTCACTTAGAGAGGTCAGGAAGGAGGACATACCCTTGTATTGGTGGGCAGAGCATAAGAGACTGCACGTCTCCTAACGTCATGGACAACTTTGCATTCCAAACATACACCGAATTCTTCACCCACTCGTCTCACATGTGCTTCTACCTTCAGAGCACGCTTTGGAGGGAGAGAACGGAGAGAACTATCAACGATTTGGGCAAAACCTCGACGGAAGTCGTCAGCAAGTTAGAGGAAAGTCTCGAGTATCATAAGAAAATGGAAACCCTTCAATCGACCTCCCTCTCAAACCAGAGAGACATATTGTCACACGAGCAGAAGATAGCCTCCTCTATACAGGCCGGCCATACTAGATTTAGCAATTATTTTGAAGAGATGATAGAGAAAGCGGAGAAACAGAAATTGCTGCTCGACTCTATTTTTAGCAACTTGAATAAAGGATTCGATGGGATCCAGTGGTTTTTAACGAGCATACTAGGAGAAGTCACGTATTTTGGAACTATTTTATTTTTCTTTTTAACCCTGATTGTTTTAACTCTCCTCCCTCAATTTGGATACTCTCGTTTATGGTTATATGTCACTTTATTTTTTTACTTCATTCTTGAAAGTGGAATCAGACAAATTTTTATTTGGTTATTTGGACTACAGTCACCACAAATGATGGTAAGTTAGTATAACCCTGTATACTTCTGTATACTTTAAGTAGTCTATATCTCTGTATATTTTAGTATATTTAAGTAGCTAGGCTACGGTGCAATTATTATGCAAATGTGTTTATTTGTAACTGCCCCCATTAATTATAATTAATGATAAATGTCTTTTTTATGTACATGTGCACATGTATGTAGTAGGAGATACTTGAATACAAGTTTGCTTTTACTGTGTTACATGTACGAGTTTATTTGTTTACAAAAATATAATTGGATTTGGTATGTACACGCATCAATGCCTTTGCATTACTGATCATTAGTGTTTTATTTATTTTATTGGAAATTGTTAGTTTCCATACCATTTACATGTAGCAGATATGGGTCAATGGCACAATGGAAAATTATTGACAAAAAAATTCATAAAGAATCTAAATTTGATTGGAATTGACTCAAACTTTCTACGTAACATAAAAACATGTATATGCATCAGAAAAAAATTATAAAAATGAAGAATTCTCTCATAGCCATTTTTGATGAAATTTGGTCATTGGCCCTGTACTATAGTACAGGGACTTTAGCCTGATTTCTGAGCAACTTTAAAAATTTGTAAAAAATAAATTTGATTGGAATCAGCTCATGTATATCAAGAGTATATAATAGGGAAAGAGAGTATCCAACTGCCCTATAAGGCTGGTAATATGTCTGCGTAAAGTTTCTTAGTATTTTTACGAATATTCTCGTTTATTACCGTTAGCTCCTTACGTGTAAATAGCTTGCTAAGACTAGGAATGAATTTTTTGAAAGTTAATTTTAATAATAATAATAATGACATCACTTAGATCACGTGATAGTTAACATAATAAAATGGCCGCTTGTCCTGTTCGAGGTCCTGTTGCTGTTGTCAATGGAGAAATGTCTCTTATGGACGACTTATATAATGCTCAGAGTCATTTTAAAGGGTTTGTTACAGAGAAGTGTGTATATGAAGACGAGCAGTGCTTGGTGTTATCTCATCGGAAGTTGTTTAACCACCCTCCACTAGGGCTAACAAGCCGGGTCAGGATTGTTATCAAAGCAAATTGTCAATATGTTGTTCAGGTTGTTCTTAGAGACTTTGAGAAAGGTGCTCTAGTTCCAGAAAATGCCAAGGAGGAGGTGACAGTTTTGTGTAAAAAGTATGCAACTGACTCACTTCTGTTTAAGTTTTGTCCTGGAATTGACCCAGCTGAGTATGAGGAAGCAGTGAAAGTCATTCGTTTCAATCTCAAGAGTGTCAGAAAGACAACAGAGCCTATTTTACGTGTTGAATTATCAGTCACATGACTTTTGCACCTTTTGGCAGACTGGTTACTAGGCTGACTTGTTTGGGCTGGAGCAAGGCCATTTTCCTTTCTTCTTCCACGCTTTCTTTTGATCATTTGTTTAGATGTTGACATACTATCATTAAAATTCTTCCTATTATAAACAAAAGATTCATGATCAGGATTTTCAGGCACCTCTTCTACATCATCCTCAAGCAGTAATGACGCCATTTTCTTATTTTGGGAGTGACAAGGTTTTTAATGACACTCCCTAAATGATTCTTACTTTGTCTCATACTTGGTTCTAGATTGAAACTAGCATTTTGTAACAATTCAAAGGAAGTGCTAAATAGAGTGCAAGCATAGGTGCAAGTAAACTTTACACAGACATATCACCAGCCTTATAGGGCAGTTGGATACTCTCTTTCCCTATTATATACTCTTGTGTATATGTATCAGAAAGAAATATAAAATGGAAAATTTTCTCCTCTAGAGCCATTTTTGGCAAAATATCATGGACTTAGAGTACAGTACTTCATAATTCTCTCTCTCTCCTCCTCCTCCTCCTCCTCCTCTCTTTCTCTTTAGCCTTATTTACATACATTCTTATGGTATTCAAGATCTTCAGTTATCATTTTAATACTTCCAGCTGTCTATTTATGGTGCTATCTGGTTCATTCTGACATGCAGTCAAAGCAACTGAAACTATTAAAGGACATACAAGATCATTTGCACCTGCTAAAGGATAATGAGGCTCAGAACCAGGTCAGTTTAAGAATTGACAATGAGAGTGCCGTCACCTCTGATGTTAATGGGTTTCGTCGTAGTACTGCATGTTTAGTTTGATGTCACTCCACATATTTCTCATTTTTGAATGCAAACAAAACGGCTTACATTTGTATCATAAGATCATGATGACATAAAGTTCATCCTTGCATGTAATTGTGATTACATGTACATGTACATGTATGTGTAAATGTACTTATATACCTTAGGCTAACACAATTGGCTGCTTTATAGTAAAATTGATCACAATTTGTCCTCTGAATCCAAGAACTTTAATTTGTTAGAGTGATGTAGTTTGATTATGTGTACATATTGGTATTCTTTGATGTGCATTCTCTCTCTGTCTGTCTGTCTCTCTCTCTGTCTGTCTGTCTGTCTCTCTCTCTCTGTTTATAGATTGATTCTTATGAGCGAATTGATTTTGATGGAGTAGTCCCTCCTCTCTCTCCTCCTCCTCCTCCTGGAGTCCCATTGTCTTCTTTCTATCCCAATGATCCAGTGGCTCATGACGAATACAAACAAATAAAGAGTGGGACTCAATTATTGGACTTTTGTGAGTTATTAAGTATTAGTAACTAGTGGGTGGAGCCTAATAATGACTATGGCTAAATTCTAAAATTGATAGACATAATGCTCTATATAATGCTGTAGACTATGTACACATACACTATTATTATTATTATTATTTTTATATTAATAGTGAGCAGCATATACATAAAGAAAGGTATGTACGATACTGCTGTGACATTGGAGTCCATTGATGATGATGCTACCTATCAACCTGATGGACGAATAGACACAATTGAAGAAGAAGCAGAAACAGACGATGAGGTATTTATTAATAATTAATTACCACTTTTGATAGTATGCACAAGTATGGTTTAATACATGAGTGATCCCTTTGATAATAAAGAGCTATTCAACTTATTTCAGTTATCATTTCCTTATAACTTGTTTTTAATCACTACTTGTGAAAAACAGCAACCTAATTTTGTGGTTTTTCATACTATTTTATTTCCTCCCCCTCTTCTCTCTCTCTTTAATAATTAGTCATCCTCATCATTGTTACAACATTCTTTGTTGCCCAGACCTCCATTATCCCATGCTCCTCAGTATAATATCACTCCTCACAGGAGAAACAGACTGGGAGCTATTGAAATTCATCAAGAGCAACGAGTGAACTCGGTAAGCAAATCAGGGAATTATCATTCCATTGTTATACGTGTGTTACGGGTAGTGGATTTCTGATCGTAGGTTAGGTAAGCTATGCGTAGGACGAAGATAGTTCTGAATATCTTTGCATAGAGTTGTTTTGGGGAATAATGGTATACGTGTGTTATGGGTGGTGGATTTCTGATCGTAGGTTAGGTAAGCTATGCGTAGGACAAGGATAGTTCTGAAATATCTTTGCATAGAGTTGTTTTGGGGAATAATGGTATACGTGTGTTATGGGTGGTGGATTTCTGATCGTAGGTTAGGTAAGCTATGCGTAGGACGAGGATAGTTCTGAATATCTTCTCATAGAGTTGTTTTGGGGAATAATGCTAATGATGTTTCGCAACAGTGCATATATATGATACGATGCTGCTAGGATACATATGTGTCAAGCAAAAATGTCACTTTTATATTTGCATCTTGTTGCCGTCTATAGTACATGTATGCTTATATTCTCCTTCTGTTCTGATTGTGTGGTCTTTTACTTGGAGCATTTCCCTTGTTGTGCTTGTTCCTCTTAATTTGTTCCAATTGGACATACATTGTATCCCTCCTATTTCCTACGCTCTGTTGCTTCTTGACATACTCCTCATTCTTTTCATGTACACATGCTCTTGATTAGCTGATCATCCTTTACTTCCTCCCTCTCCTCTCTTTCCTCCGGAATGCACATTTGGCAATAACAACAATCTTCTATACTATCATAGCTTGTGTTTAATCCTCTCTGTGGGTATGTGGGTATGTGTTCTTAGAATTATATGTTATGACAATCTAAGAGTATGCTATGTATGTGTACCCGAATGTGTGTGTCCCTCTTCTCCTAATCTTTTTGACTCCATAGTCACTCTCTCTCTCTCACTCTCCTACGCCTCTCCTTCCCTCTCTCTGTCTCCTCTCCCTCTCTCTGTCTCTCTCTCCCTCCCTCTCCCTCTCTCTCCCTCTCTCTAGTCTCATGATGACAGTGGTATAAACAATGACCAGTTTAGCTCTTTCTCTTCTCCTGTGACTCGTTATGACCTACGGCCCAGGAGAAGCACACCTAGACGTATATAAAGCTAACACTAATTATACTTATATGTAATGTTACTTAAACTTATACTTCTGTAATGTTACTTAGCACTTTCATCATGTACATGTAGGCTGCTCTCTCTTCCTTGTATTATAATGAAATACAAATTTTTATTTCTTATTGTCCTTCTTGATATGAACTGTTTATTTTATTTTCCTCTTCTTATTGTTGCTCCCTTCTCTTTTCCCTTGACCCTTTTCCCCCTCTCTCTCTCTGTTAATTGGTGTATTGTTATTGTTTTTGTGAAATTCTCAATGCTTCTATTAGCAGTTCTCAGTTCTTATTCATGTTGTCACAGAGTCAATAGGAGCTTGTCCTCTTAATGGACAGTGTGTGTGTGTGTGTGTGGTTCATATTATTCAGTTTGTTTTGGATGTTAACTTTTAAAAAATATCATTATGCTATACACAAGTGAATACATATATGTTATTAAAAACAACGAAAGATGATAATTACAACATTATAATAATAATAATAACATTTAATATTGAGCATTGAGTCTGTTGGAGCTTTAGAGTGATATTATTATGTGAGGAATTCAGAGTTATTTGAAGATATTAGTAATGAGTGAATTATTGAAGTTCAAAAGAGACAGCTCTTCATATATTCTCAGCGTCAGGGTTTGGAAATATTTCATCATCATCTCCACTGACTGGTTGATTAGCTGGGCTACTGGTGTCCGTCATATAATGCATAGCAATCCTAAAGTCATCCTTATTGTTGTTAGTATTAGTATTATAACTAGTCGATAAACTTTTCAGCGGAGTTGAGAATGATCGTGGCATGTGAGTAGCGGCTAGTTCACCGATCTCGGATGCGTTTGAGTTACGCCAGAGCAGTGGTATGTCACTGAGTCTGTTGGAATCAGCTGAATTGGATTCACTTGATATCTCTTGTACCACGGTCTCTCTCTACAATTAGGATAAAAGGATAAAAGTGGGATAAGAATGTCATATTTAATTATCATGAGGCTTCTATTGGCATTAGAACACCGTTTCGATGAAAATGATAAAATACGATACTCTCCCTCCCAAATAGCTCATGCTCCTACAGCTCTCTTTGCTCCTAATGCCTCATGACATTGGTATGCTCTTGTGAGAATACAGTTTGTGTAGCCGCCCATTGTGGCATTGTTAATATCATTAATACGATGTTGGTGGTTGTGTCATTCTCTTACTTGTTTATTTCTTGTCTTCATACATATTATCACACCACAGAGCCCGATGATTATTACTATTAGCATCAACACTAGCACTATTAACACTACTGATGTAGGACCACCTACTGATTCCATAATACCTTTAGTACCTGCAATAGAAGAGAAAGAGATACAAAATTATCATATGCACTACTAAACCCTATTTTAAATATTACCTCCTATAATTGGCGTTTGAGTTACTGCTGCACTATTAGTTGCATCGATTGTATTAGCTTGAGAACTGGCTCCAGTAATTGATGTGCTGGGAGTATTATCTTGAGAGGTGGCTCTAATTGGTTTGTTATTGCTGCTGCTACACATGCTGGTGGTACCAGTCCGTATGATTGTACTTGTTGCTGTTAAGCTCCTTGTTATTGTCTTTGTTTCTGTTACTGTTGTAGTCAGTACTGACTGAATGACAGTGGAGCTTCCTTCATCATCTGTAGTGAATGGGGAGAAGATAGAGATAAAAAATTAAAATTAGGTTTTTTAAAATTAAATTGAGGTCAGGTCAGCTGATACATGCACCTGGACACTTTCACAACATGGAGTAAATACATGTACATCTGTTTAGACTGTCTGTCTGTCTGTCTGTGCATGCGTTTGTGGAGCTTTGATCCTTACCATTAGAGAAAGATACAATCAGAGCATCCCTGTCAATATTTGAGAAGCACATCAGTGCTGTACTCTCTGTGATGGTAAAGTTATTTCTCAGATACACAAAGAGGCCCTGGGATTTCTTGTTCCGAGGGATGTAGGTATGACTGCAAGGCCTTGTACCATTGATGCAATGGATGGGATGAGTAAAGAACTGACTGCTCTCCTCCTCTAGAGCTTGAATATGCCACTGGGGAACATACAGTGAACATTTGCAGGTGAGCTCCAGTGTGATGCTAGTCTCACCAGAGGGGACAAGGATTGTGTGGATGTTGCTGTCATCTGAAGCTGATACTCCTGGGATGCCTTCAATCACACCTGCAGAGAAGGAGACGTTAAAATTAGGCATTTCATTGCAGAATATGATTCTTACATTCTCTTCCTAATGAATGATGCAGTTTTATCAACAGTAGAAGGAACATGACACAGATAGCATGCATCTTTATTTTTGTGTTGGATCTGGAGAGAGTGTTAACAACTATAGATTGGCTGTGGTTCTTCTTTAGCCTGCAGGAGGGCAGCTAGCAGCTATAGCTCTAGGTTGGGATTCAGTTGAAAGGATGCTCCTATTTATACTGTTGTCTGGTTGCTTAGGGAAGTTGGGAGTGGCTTTGAAATCTTGAGTATGCACTGTTGACAGAAATGGTTGTAGAAAAGTGGCAGAGTGTTAAATATTAGATTGATGAGATATTTCTGTGTATAGTATAACAAGAATGCAGTGCTTATTGACCTGCTGATTGCACTTCTCTTCAAGGGAGTGGGACCCCTACTTCCTAATAAATGATTGATGAGATATTTCTGTGTATAGTATAACAAGAATGCAGTGCTTATTAACCTGTTGATTGCACTTCTCTTCAAGGGAGTGGGACCCCTACTTCCTAATAAATGATTGATGAGATATTTCTGTGTATAGTTAGTATAACAAGAATGCAGTGCTTATTAACCTGTTGATTGCACTTCTCTTCAAGGGAGTGGGACCCCTACTTCCTAGTAAATGATTGATGAGATATCTCTGTGTATAGTTAGTATAACAAGAATGCAGTGCTTATTAACCTGTTGATTGCACTTCTCTTCAAGGGAGTGGGACCCCTACTTCCTAGTAAATGAATGCTAGGCCCTTTACTCTTATATCACTGTTGTGTTGACTCTGTAATTATTGCCTTGACAGAGCCCATAATATACAGTAGAAATATTGTAGCATCTATAGCATAGGAATGTGAATTTATATTATAATGCATGATTTTACTACATTCCATCATAGTCAGGCAGGGCCTAGGCTCCACCTGACTAACTCCATCAGACACTGGTGGAGAATTATCATGGAAACATTTGCTGCATGTTTTATGAATACTAAATTGACTATGTTAGTCTTTATTGCATGTTATCTGCTATCATACCTTTCTCTATGTTTTCAATACTTTTAAATGCAAGTATACCATATCCTATTGGATTGCTTTTAATCTTATTATTATTACTATTATTGCATCAGTAGTAGTATTATTATCATAAGTTAGCTATTTTTATGGTTTAACTCTCACTATAATTGAATTAAACCATAGAATATCCTCAGGAACTCTAGAGTACATTATTAAGGCGCATGCAATACATGTGCTCCATTTAGTACTCATTCTATATACTACTACTAGTGGAGGGTATCCTGTTATTATTGAGTTAAAGGAAGCTTGACTTCATCTTCCTTGCCACTACTCTCAACAAACCACTAATTATCGTAATACTGATTCTTGTTATTGGAGGAGTGGCATGGGATATAGGAGTTTTAGCGTTGTTGAGCTTTAGCCAAATGTAAAGCTTTTATGTATAATTTAGTTTTAATTACTATTTACATTTCTTTATCATGAAAGTAACTAGGCACATCCTTGCCAACACGTGACTTGTAAAATGTACGCGTGCATATATAATAGTTAAGATAAATAACGTTATTATTATCATTGTTGTTGTTGTTGTTGTTGTTGTTGTTGTTGTATGTGTTAAAGAAGTGTCAAGTGTGTCTTTGTTATTTTAATGACAATCCCACATCCCTCTATGTAAACTGGACACACAGATTAATTTATTATTTAATACCTTATAGCTGATTTATTTTGTGTGGAGTTAATTTTCGTGCAGGCTTAAATCCACTATAATTAATCCTATTAAAATTTTATTAAAATCAAATGAATAATAGCAGAAATTTTGTAAACAGCAATAATTTGAGGCCACGAAATAAACCAGCTGTACAGTAATAGTTATAGTTAATATTGTTGAATATAACCACGAGTTATAGAAACAATTTTAAAACATTTTACTATACACTAATTCTCATTTTCAAGGAATTTATGTATGCTTATATCTTTTGCGAATTTAATTGACATAATGAGCTTCATAGTAATAATATTTTTGTAATGATTAGTGGGAGTATAATGCATTTTATGATAATATCATAATAATTTTTGTAATTTTTGGTAGTAGTATAGTGTAGTAAATAGCCATCATTCTATCTTTTAGTCTTTTTCTTCTTCCCTCTCCCCCCCCCTCTCTCTCTCTCTCCCCCCCCCTCTCTCTCTCTCTCCCCCCCTCCTCTCTCTCTCTCTCTCTCTCCTCTCTCTCTCCTCTCTCTCTCCTTTCTCTCTCTCTCTCTCCTCTCTCCCCTCTCTCTCTTAATGCATATTTATGTGTATATTTATGTCCAACTTGTTTTTGAACAAACCTCTCTCATCACCTGCTGTCTTATAAACAACACAGAGTATGTTAACTAGGTCATCATGTTCCATTAACCAAAAAATTGACCTCAGCGCTATTGTATAAACAATTGATTTTTGTACATACAACTCAATGTACCTGTATGAGATCACATGACCTATGATCACATGACTTTCATGCATCGATTAGTCCACCTTACATTCTCACATAGTAGAATTGCTTTGTGCACATTATTATGTTTATTCTGTTTACAATGTTTTCCGCCTAGTTCATTCCTTTATCTCCCTAGCTCCCTCCCTCCCTCTCTCTCTTTCTTGGAATTTAACGTTATATGATAATGCTTCCTGTGAGAATTGAGCAGTAGCTAACATATCAACATAATTCAATAACAGAGATGGGAATGTATACTTAATTCCATTATGTAGTATGATATGGGAAGAGAGAGAGAGGGAGAGAGAGGAAGAGAGAGAGGAAGAGAGAGTGAGTGAGAGAGAGAGAGTGAGTGAAAGAGAAGAGAGAGAGAGTAAGAGAGGTAATAATGTTACTTGTAACTTGTTATTTCATTATAATGTCTGATTTTTGTAGATAAACCCACACATACATACACACATACATACACATAGATTTACTATGTATAATGCCTTGAAATATGTGTACATGCATACCCGAATATTAGACATGTACATGTACATGTCATTGCTATGGGATATGGCTGCATGTATCATGTATGGCTGTACGTGTGGTATGTGTACATATCTACATATCATTGCACAGGAATACAACATTAGCTGGTACTCATTCCTCTACTGTTGTCCAGGGGACCAACTGAGAGATGAGACAGGGAGGCAAGGATTTGAACGAACCAATTATAAATGAAATGTGTTAGAAATAGCGACCCAATTAGTAGTACAAGGTGCTACATTTTTTATGGTATCAGTTTTTTGATAAACATTATCACAAATATTGTATTATGTGCAATAAAAGTATATACAAGTCATCATCAGTGTATGTAGTGTATATAACTCTGTTATCAGTATATTTCAGTATATGTGCCAGTATATTTTAGTATATGTCTGTATATGTCAGTAAATGTAGTACATGTCTTTGCATAATGATATCAATATGTTCATGACATATTTTAGTCGTGTTGTCTAACTTTGTAGCATACTTATAATTGAATTGAACTGATTTCATTACAAAGGATTTACGATATTGTGATTAAATATTTACAATACGTGTCATATGCCAGATAGCCTGTCTATGCTTGCTATGACGGCATGAATTCTCAATGGTATACCAACTGTTACTCTGGCTAGGCATGACCGTTTATAATTAGCTATTAGTATCTTTGTCTCTCCCAGTGAATGATTTTCTTTCTTGTCTGTCTCCCTGCAATTATTGAATACGGTAGTATATTTCACTTCCTAAGATGTTTGAATGAACAATAGACAACACATCTAGAGACTGTAGTATAGTCTATACATTCATTCCAATGTGTTAGAAGGTGAGATCATTCTATTGAATAATTGCAGGACTATACTACAAGAATACCGCCTTAACATGTAGTAAAGGCTGGTATTTTTGTATCAATTTCATGCTGTGTCTGTTATTAATTATTCGTATTTTTCGTGAGTACATGACATTTGTATGTATGCGTTTGTATCCATGCAGGTGTGTCAAATTTTGGCTCTCACTGGTTTTATTGGAGCTGATTGCTCACAGCTGCGTACAACTTACAGCTAGATTGAGTGACAATTAATTACTCACACCCAAACTGGCTCTCATGCATGCTTGACAGGCCTAAAAGAATGTTCTTGCAATGTAAGATTTTGAAGACAATTGTGTATTATATATATGTCTCTAGTCGTCCACCTTGAGTATGATATGTCACACAGTTTTAGTGACTCAATCTGTATTTTATATTGACTTGTTGGTGAGTTGTTCTTGTTGTCTGTGAGGTACATTTGTCTTAAATTCATCATTGTAGGTGTCTGTACATGTGCCTCTCCAATGATTAACACATCATTGTGTATGATTGTGCATTAAATAGAGTAAGTGCTCTAGCTTTATAGTCAGCCGTTGTTCCCTCCCCCTGGCGTTGCCATGGCAGCATAATGAATGAACACCTGCACATTATTAGCTGGCGGGTTTTTTATGAATTATAACGTAAAGGAATAACTGACATTCTTTATAATAATAAGGATGGTACAAAAATGAAATGATGACCGACACACATACGTTCAAATAGAGATTCAATAATAATTAATAATAATAAATATTGTAGGAGGTGATGACATAATACGCATGGGAACAGTGCATTTTACATACATGTATGTAATAAATATGTGACAGCTAGTGCATATTTTTATTATTATCGTTATTATTATTTTTATTATTAACATTTATACTTCTGATACTGTAAGTGTAACATATCTAGGGTTTCTATCATTATCGTTATTGTCAATGTAGGAACTGCTCCTATTGTTTGTCGGGAGACTTGAAGTGGAGTTTCTCCACGGTGATACAATGGATGGCTCTTGGTCATATTTTATTGAGCAGTTGGACTGTCTTCTTTGACAGTCATAATCTCTGTATACAGGCTGCTGGAGAGAAGATAAGAGGAGAGAGAGAGAGAGAGGGATAGGAAGTCATATTATGTATTCAGTTTACAAATACTTGACCACAAGGCGAAACATTATTTGATAATATACGCAATCATTGAGCATTCTAACTCTTAAACAATTAATGGATACTAAGAAAGTGAGTTATGTGCCTGGAAGCAATAAATTGGAACAAACAGAAATGTCCTGTTTGTTCATAAGAACTGAGTTAGAATGTATAGTATCAGCTCTGTTTGTTGATACATTTTCCTGTTACTAATTGATGGCATTTACACATTAAAAGACACTCTGTAGGTGTAGATAAGTGTTACATGTAATAAATTCCATTGGCAATTACACTTAATGGGCCCTTAAAATCTCCTATATGGAACTCGTGATAGTAGTAAAATTGATTAGCATATATTGGATGCTTTTTACCATGGTTATAGTACTCCAATTAATTGTTGCATGCAGTGGTCATTGTGGCATGTGGCATTGTTCATATTATCATTAATACAATGTTAGTGGTTGTGTCATTCTCTTACTTGTTTATTTCTTGTCTTCATACATATTATCATACCACAGAGTCCAATGCTTAGTGTTATTAGCATCAACACTAGTACTATTAATAATAGCGAGGTTGAGCCACCCACTGATTTTACTATGCTATCAGCTATGCCAGCATCTAATAGAGAGAGACATATTAAGACTCGAATCTTATATTACAGTCATTTCTTTACCTCCAGTGCTAAGTGTCGGAGTAACCCTAACAGTGATCGTCTCTGGTTTTATGTCTACACTGCATCCCCCAGTCTTTACTGTACTAGTGACAATGCTCACTATGCTGGTAGTAATTCTCTTTGTAATGGTTTCGGCTTGTTGCATTGAAGTAGCATGTTCTCCATTAGCGCTGTTAGTCTCTTCAGTGGGTGCCGTGTATGCGCTTGTAGGAGATACAGTGCTGGTTTGTATGTCTTCACTGGCTGTTGAAGGTGTACTGGTAGTGATCGATAATGATGACATTAATCCACTCTGATCTGTTCTGTCTGGAATGTGGAAGGAGATAGCAGTAATTATATGTGTGGGTATGGAATGTAATGGTCTAATAGCTTTATTTGTTTGATGTCTGTACATGATGGGCCACATTCCTATGCACAAGCGTCATACTACATTTGTTTTAAGTGAATGCTACTTTTAATATACTGCCTATCATTGTATGCTTTTTTATCTGTTTACAAACATTTATTGCATACTTTGTGTGTGTTATACTTAATTAAGCATTGTGTACCAACATACATTTGTAACCATAGTAATTAATTTTTCTCTTTTGATTCTCTCTCTTTCTTTCTTACCATTGGTGAAAGACACTATCAGCACTTCTCTGATGATATTAGAATAGCACATTATTGCAGTACTTCTTGTAAGAGTTAGGTTCTGTCTTGAATAGACATAGAGTCCTCTTGACTTATTGATTGGATTGATGTAGTCTATATCCCTTGAGCATGGTCTGGTGTTGTTGATGCACTCAATCCCCTGTTGATAGAAACTGTTAGCCCTTTCTCCAGGGCTAACTTTCCCTATCAGTCTAATGTGCCATTGTGGGTTGTATACTGAGCAGTTGCAGGTTAGGTTGAGTGTCAGGAGTGATTCACTGGAAGGGACAGTCAGTGTGTGTACATTATCACTTGATTTTACATTCTCTGGCAGTCCTTCAAATTGACCTAAAGTAATGGGAAAGAGCACAGCAGATATTTGCTTGCATCTAGCTATTACTGTATATATACTAGCTCTCTTTCTCTTTTCTTACAGTCTCTGTCAATGGCTTGGCACTCTAGGAGTAAGACAGTTAGTATCAAATGAGAGAAGGTCAGCAAAGCAGTTCTTTTTTGTGATAGGTTGTAATGGTGAGCCATTCTCTTGTTTTGCCTTCTTTTTGCTGTGTCTGCAATCACCAGTAAAGCTTAATAAGTTATCACTTCTTTACTTCCTTTTATAATATGCCATTCAGTGGGCTGTCCAAATACTTGCATGCATATATGAAACCATAGAATGGAATGCAATTGCTTGTACATATGCACACACACACACACACACACTGTTGGAGGATTTCTCTTGAACGTGTTTGTGCAGTTATATGACTTCTTGCAATACCTGCAGTCTGCATCTAAATAGGTTGTTTTTCCATTTATCCCATTAGCAACTTCAGTGTTAATGAATGATTGGCATGCAATTATGGCTTTAGTATTTATTTGTGTGTTCACTGTAAGTGTAAGGTTCTCAATTTAATGGCTGCCTCGCTCTTTCATACTGAGAGTGTCAGGAATGTTTAATCTGTTCACCTGTCCAAACAGATATAGGATGTACCCAAACACAACAAAGGGACACTTGGGGGAGAGAATTTTAGCACTATGAGTCTTAGATATACCGGTACACACTGATACAGACTGCTGTAATTACTTTGAGTTATGTAACCAGTTTTCCATTTTGTTCCATTGTTAGAGACACTCCAAAACTAGTTGGGATGATTTATGATGAATTTTCAATAAAAATTTATGAGTTTTTGATGTGTTATTATTGCAATGGTACAATTCCTAGTATTTGCCACACACCACACATGATCATGAGTGCATGTACGTATTGCATGTGCATACACATGCCTATAGCAGCTACAGCATGTATTTATTGTTATTTGGGCATCATATTTTGATCTTGTTACACAAACATAATGTCAGTTCTTTGAAATCTCGCTGATCGTGTTTCATGCCACATTCAATTATCATGTTTTCATTTAATTAGGAACTATCGTATTTATTGAACCAAAGCAAGTCTGTAATTTCATATTCTCTTATACTTAATCTTACATTACTCCTACTTACTAAATTTCTATCTATCCCTTTTTTCAAGAGTACATCATGGGGGGTGTACTCTTGCTTATTTTCAATTCTTTTCGAGTCCCCTATAATCTTACCATTTGTATTATTTTTTGTGAGTCATCACCGATGCACCTGCAATTGTTCTCTTATTTCATAGTAGCCCTCATCAAAGAGATGCATCAATTCTACACACATTCATTAAGCCTTTGTTCTCTATGAAGCTATTTTTATAGAATAGTATTTATATGTTAAATTGTACATACCATGTATAACTGAAGCATGACAAAGAGACATTAAAAGAGCTACTATAGACTAATTGATCATCACTGGGAATTATTTAACTCACTCATCCTTAAAAATTTTTCAGTTATTACATTATTGACTCTCCCCACTCTCTCTCTCTCTCTCTCTCTCTCTCTCTCTCTCTCTCTCTCTCTCACTTTGTTTATCTCTTACTGTACATTAAATGGAGTGTCACTGGCATGCGTGGAGGTCTAGAGGGACGCTGCATACCATGTACCTTAGGCATGCATACGCTTCCTATTACTGACTCTGAATAATATTTCATCATTATAAGAGGAGGATTGTTGTTGTTCTTATGTTCTTATTCCTGATATTAGCAAGTATGATCAGGTGTAGGAGAATAGCTATTATGAATAGCCCGTGGCTTGACAAACAGGATAGACCTATGAAAACAACCAGTGAGTGCTTCACATTCCTCTCATGATAATAATAACAATAATATTAGCTGCTATCACATGTGCATGTATGAATATTATAAGTGCACGCTGCTTACTGATTTAATTATAACAATGCTAGTATAATAAGTGTGTGTATATGTTATAAGTACATGTGACTTGCTTCATTGCATATGTACATTATGACATTATCGTTGGGTAATCGATTGAATCAATTGTTAGTACTAGTTATCTTCAATGTATTGTGAGACCTAATGAGCAATGTTGTGATTAGTACATATTCTAGTACAATTATGAAGAATTTATGAATCACTTTGAGAGGGAGTGTTCCTATAAGGATGTGTTTTCATTGCATTGCTATTATTATTATTATTGCTTTTAGATTTGTGTTGCTTGTATTATTATTATTATTGATTGACTTTTGAAGTTCACATATTTATAAGCAAACAAGAGTCAAATTAAATTTTTTCCTGATGCATATACATGCACTTATTTTGTGTATAGAGTTTGAGCTGATTCCAATCAAGTTTGGATATTTTACAAATTTTTTTAAGTTGCTCAAAAATTAGGCCAAAATCCCTGTACTATAGTACAGGGCTGTCGGTCAAATTTCACCAAAAATCATTTAGTGAGAATTCTTCATTTTTATAATTTATTCTGATACATATACATGTTTTTATGTTGTGTAGAAAATTTGAGCTGATTCTGATTAAACTTTGATTTTTTGTGAATTTTTAAAGTTGCTTCAAAAGTCATAGACAAGAGCAAAGCTGCAATAGTCATGGCAGCCAGTTGAACTCTACTTAGTATCTTTTATTGATACAAGTATATCTGCTGATTTGAACATTGACTTCCAACCATAATAACAATTATAATGCATAATATTATTATCATTAATGAATTGAAGTATTCAAATTAAAATTAGTTTATTGACTATTAGTTTATTAAATTCAGGTTTATTAACTATTGGTAGTTATTAAGTTATTTGCTAATGAAATTCATGCGATGTGTACCTACAGCTGATCATTATCATCATGATAGCCTGCCTTTCCTCTGCTCTGTAAAATAATAGAATACATGTCATTCTTTACATTATAAGCCAAAATATTGACTTACAGTTTGTTCCTTTCTATTTATGCTCCTACAACAGCAGCATATCACCATTAGTATTGACCCAAGGATTATTAGTAAAATGATACTAACAAAAGTAGTGAGGGTGAGAGCAATGATACCACTGTTATTACTAAAACATTCGCTAACTATAAAAATAAATAAATAAATGTTATTATTATTGACCCATTCTACATGCATGCACAATATGCATAGGCTTACAAGTATATTGAGTTTCACTAGTAGCTGTAGGCTCCGTGAAAACTGTCCGTAGTATTGTTATTGTAGTAGGAGTTGGTAAAGGAGTTGATGTCATAATGCATTCAGTGACTGTCACTACTGAACTAGCTGATTCCGTATAGCCACTAGCTAATTCTGTATAGCTGATAGGCTCTATAGATTCTGTAGAGCTAATAGATTCCGTATTTGTTATATCTGTGTAGCTACTAGTTAATCCTGTGTAGCTACTACTACTAGTTGGTTCTGTATAGCTACTGGCCATTATTGTGTAGCTACTAGACTCCTCAATTTCAGTGCTAGTAAGTAGAGAATTCATTGTTAAAGAGAGAGAAGGAGTGGGAGATATAGCACTGGAGCAATTGGATGTCATATCTACATATAAAGACAATCATTTGCAATCATTAGTGCACCATTCACTTACTTTCTTGCTGTAGTACATTGAGTATTGTAGGTAATGAGCAGTTCCATACTTTAATGTGATGACAGCAAGTTAGTACTTGTGTTGTCCATACTGTTCCATTAAATGTGTCTCCAAAAATCGGCATTCCACCTCCTGTGATACTTCCTTTGTACAAGTATGTAATGAGATTTGTAGCGTAGTTGCAGTTAAAGTAGACTCTATCTCCAGGCAGTATATTTACTGTTGCTCCTGATGGACTAGCAATGACTGTATCATTAACATTGAGATGTGCTTCTGCTTTAGCTATAGAGGGGAGGTGCATCTATGGTTATAATGTATGGCTATGTTATATACATACCTGTGATGCTTTGGAGCATGATAAGAAATAAAGTAGCCAAGAATTGCCCTCTTCTCATAGTTCCTCCTTTTAGTATTGCTATTGCTGAGTATAAAAGTGAGAGTGGCTTGTTGTTTTTTGATTTTTATAGCACTAGTATGACTAGTCAGAATTCATTATTGTTGTGGATCTTTTTGTCACTCCATGAATACACTTATTTTATAAAATTCATAATCACTTTTCAAGTGACATAATAACCAATCACGTCATATACTAATTATGTAATTTTGAATATCATTAACATTAGGGAAAACACCTTGGGTAGCCCACACAAAATTTACATAATGATACGATACATTAACATAGGGCTGTACATGTACATCACAGGTCTGCTGATTGTGTTTGGTAATTGTTCTGAAGAGTGAGGTCATGGTCAAATTTCATCTTCTTGCTTCTATATCGACAGCACAAGATTACAGCAATGCACACCAGAAACTGTATTATTAGTATGAGCACAAAAATAGCCATAAACGTAATGAAACCACTGTTGTTAAAACATTCATCTACAAGAAAAGAGAGAGAGGCATAAATAAAGTAGGGAATTAACTATGCATTTTCATAGATCTATATTGATGCCCTTATGCTATGTAGAAATTATGGGCTAATTTTGCATTCAAAATTAAAGCTATATACAAAACTCACAGAAAGTGTTAGCAGTAGCTTCTGGTCCTCTTGGAGATACAGTAGTCATTAGTGGTGAAGGTGACATCAACTCTGTAATAGTTTGAACTGTAGGACAAGAACTCATGATCTTAGTTATGGTAACTACTCCTGGCCCATCTGCTGCTGTAGTGGGTACGTCTGTTTGGACAGTAGGAGATAAATTTGTATGTAAAATAGAAGATGCATCTGTATTTGCAGTAAGAGTAGCACTCGTTTGCACAATAGTAGATGTTTCTGTGTGTAAAGTAGTAGACACTTCAGTATTTGCAGTAGAAAGGACGAGTTGTTCATTGTCACTTGTAATGGATGATGAGGGGGAGATATCCACTGAACTAATGATGCTTTTTATTGATGAACTATAGGTGGAGTCTGCATCAGCTAACGTAGAGCTAGAAGGTGGAATGCATTGAGACGATGAAGGGATGGTGGAAGAGCTTGTTATTGGCTCTGTTGGGGGGAGAGAGGGAGAGAATGTATAAACTAATGATGTCAGTAGGAAACTAGTACATACATACCTACATGCATATATACATACATGTACATACACTATATGCATTTTATACATACCTGATTGTATGACATTGAGGAATCTTGTTGCAGAGCAATGAAAGGTTTGATTATGCTGACAGCATGTGAAACTCAATGGATCCAATAATATTTCATTCATAGTCTGGTGTCCAATACCAATGAGAAGGGGGATTGACGTAGTATAATTCTTCAAGTTAATTCTTGTCAGATATGTTAGATAGTTTATTTCACTGCAGCTGCAAGTAACAACTGCAGTATCACCAACTGTAGCCTCAATTATAAGATTGCCATTGGTAACACCATTGATACTCACTTGCAGGTTACCTATAGCACAGTGTATATTATGAGTGAGTGTTTGTTTGTTTCTAACTTACATGTTATTGAGCCATTAGCTTGAAGAATGATGCCAAACAGTGCCAAAATAGTGTAAAGTTTCTCTGCCATTCTCTTCTTTCCTTTCCTTCTCTTTGGCTCTTTCTTTTGTTGCTCTGCTAGTTAAAAATATGATAAACAGAATTGCCGGTAGAGCCTTTTGTATAATATACATTGGTACAGGGAAAGTTAAGTCAGGGGATGGACCTTTTGTCATTGTGTTAACAGTTAAAAATATTTACACAATACCGGTATATTAATATAATACCAAATGACTAGTTAATGTAATTAGCTGTTATTGTAAACCAATAGACCAGCTATAATGATGATGTGGAGGAGTGTATGGCATGTTGTATACGTAAGAGGGGACACTTTATGTACATCATACTAGTAATATTGTATTAATAATATACATGTATTGTAATGCACATAGGTGGAGCTAAGATAATTAATTATGATGATGAATAATTAATAGGTCAATTAAATTCATTGTTCTCATTCACGTGTAGTGGTATAAGCAGTTTCATTAATATTTATAACAATAATGATGTGCATATGTGGGCTGTGCTCAGCAACAGAGTGCAATGAATCTAGGTTAATGAATATTGAAAATAATATAATTATGTCAAAAAAATTCCAGGGGTATTTTTGAAATGCAAAATAATCAATAAAAATGTTGAATTTTAAGAGACAGAAAAGTGAGTGTGCGAAATCAATACAAAATAAAAATAAGTATTAATAAATGTTATAATTATAGTTTTTGTTCATTATTCTTTAAGTCATAGCTTTGTTTCATCTTATGATAATATCTGCATACAATGAGTAAGAACCCACACACTGCTATGGTAACAATCAGCAACACAGTTAATATAATGACAGGAAGTATAAACTCTATATTTTCAGCACAATTTTTACCTGCTCAATAAAAACAGAATAAAAAGCATGATAGTCCAATGATTAATACTCACTCAATGTTGGCTCTCCAGATTGGTATATGTAAATATTCTCAGATGCCGACTGTTGTTCTTCATCAGAAATACTTGGTGATGGCGTCACCATTATTGTTGTAGTCATGATGCGTGTACTAATGACTGTTGTAGGGACAACTTGCTGCTCCATTGTAGTAATACTTTTAGTTATTGTTGATGTAACTGCTTCAGTATATGTAGCTGTTTCTGTGTGTGTAACTGTTTCAGTGGATGTAGCTGTTTCTGTGTTTGTAACTGTCTCTGTGACTGGTAGGGGTTGAGTGCTATTGCATTCAGTGGGATCTATTATAGAAAGAATAAGTGAATTGTTATTAATATATTGAGTTGCTTACTTGGGGAATGTTTTGTCACATTTATAATTGTACTTAATGAGCAGTTCCATACTCCATCATCCTGGCAGCATTGAAAAGAGTGAGATGTATCAATGCTGCTAGTGGTATAATTTTCATTATACAACATCCCTAGTGGACTGTAATCAGAGAGATTTGTTTTGAATAGATATTTAATGTAGTTCTTGTATGAACAATAGTTGCAGCTAACAGAAATGTGGTCTCCTTCTTGTACGACAACTTCTTGTGATGCATTGAAGACGGGCCCATTGTTAAGAGACACTTGCACTATGCCTGCATTAAAGAAAGAGAGATATAAAAATGTGTTTATAATGTGTCTGTGTGTGTGTGTGTGTGTAGTCTGGCTAGCGAGACTAGTGTGTGTGTGTGTGTGTTATGTTATACTTACATGATTGGGTGAAGCTAAGTATGCAGCAGACTATGATAAAGTAGACTCTCATTTTTGTTCTGATTCTTCTCCTTTAGTTGATGATGCTGTTACAGTTATTATAGTTATGAAATGCTTTTATGTTTTTTTGATGGAGTCGGCCCTCCTTTATAATAAGCATTGTTCTATGAATCTCATTAATAAAAGAAGATTACCGAAGGTGCAACACCTCTTAAATGGTGAAGAATGCAAACAGTTTACAAATGCTATTACATTAGAGAGTGATAGAAGGATATACTGAGTGACGTTATAACGTGTTGATTGTTATCATAAACCAGTGGGGGAGACAAGAGAGTAGGGAATAGTTCAAAGATTTGACACAATACTGGATAGTCATACATGTATATTAATGGTCCATGTATGTATGTATGTATGTATGTATGTGCATATTCCAATTAAAGCCCCTACTTTATTTGTTTGTAGACAGAAGAAAGGGACATTCTTTTATGTGTAATTGTGTTTAGTCTTTTAGCAATTGCTAATTGAGTTATTAACATTTTGAGGTATGTGCTACTTATGATGATGGACACACACATTTTACTATGTACTTAATACCATATATGGCATACACGATACATGCATGTATAATGTGTAAAGTCCAGGTAAATGTCACATGCTTGTTGTCAGGCACAGTTCAGCAACATAAGTACATGTATACATATCAGAAAATGTAGTAAAACTAATGAATTTTTACTTAGCCATTTTTGACAAAATTTACCCAAAGCCCCTGTATACTATTAGTAACGCGGTAGCGTTACTAAGTAGGATTCACCCCCAAACAAAATGGCTGCCACGACTTTTGCAGCCTTGCTATACCGGGAAAACGAGCTCCTATGCTTACCAGACTTCTTATAGCATAGGGACTTTGGTCCAATTTTGAAGCAACTTTAAAAATTTGTAAAAAATCCAAACTTGATCGGAATCAACTCAAACTTTCTACACAACATAAGTACATGTATATGTATCAGAAAAAATTATAAAAATGAAGAATTCTCACCAAGTCATTTTTGACAAAAATTGGCCAACAACCCTGTACTATAGTACAGGGACTTTGGTCCAATTTTGAAGCAACTTTAAAAATTTGTAAAAAATCCAAACTTGATCGGAATCAACTCAAACTTTCTACACAACATAAGTACATGTATATGTATCAGAGGATATTATAAAAATTAAAAATTTTCATCTAGTCATTTTTGGTGAAATTTAACCAATGACCCTGTACTATAGTACAGGGACTTTGATCTGATTTTGGAGCAACTTTAAAATTTGTAAAAAATTCAATTTTGATTAAAATTGATGCACTTATATGTAACCTTTACTATTGCATTATTACAACATAAGTGCATGTATATGTATCAGAGAAAATTATTAAAATGCAAATTTATCACCTATAGTCATTTCAAGCAAAATACCTTGTAGGCATAGCAGGGCCTCTGGTCTCTTTGTGCTTACTTCCTTAATGTATACTATTAAAATGTAGCTGCCTGTCCTTTTCAGTATAATAATATATCAAAATGCACTTCTAAGCACTTCTAATTCCCTAAACACTTCTCTCAGTTGTTTTATGTACACATGCACATATCCTATTGTCTCTATAGAATAATTCTTTATTGTCTACGGAGGAGAATGGCATGTATAAACATTATTTTAGCACCTTTGAGTTATGTTC